AAAAACATAATTATATTCTCTTAGTTTAAATAATAGACAACGATTTAACTTTTGCATATTTTGGCATCGTATTGATTTACGCATGAAACATTTTTTTTAAACCATTACACATACAACGATTTAACTTTTGCATTAATTTATGTTCAAATGGTTTCATTCCCGTAATATAGTTTTATGTATTTATATGTGATGTTAACATTTTTTAAGAATGTCTTAAACTTGAATCTGATATATCTAAACAAAACTATTACGAATGTTTAGGATTAATATTTTTATGTATGTATTTGATATAATTATAACATATTATTCAATAATGGCATGACCGGTCCTGGAGATGTATATATCCTCGAATGCATAGGACGAGTCGGGGAAAAATGACCCCTATCGCTATTATAAGTTTTTTATTTTTAAATAAATGTATATATAATATATAATAAAAGAAATTGGGTCATGTGTAGCTGTCCACTTTGCCCCCCTCAACGCTCCCCATGAATAATGGGCTAATGCTACAAAATATTCTATGGTTTTGGTTTAGGAGTATGATAGTGAATATGTTTGTTAACTGTTCTAAAAAACTGATTAAAAAAATTCGACCAAAAAAATAATATAGAAAAGTGAGAGAGGGAAATATGTCCAAACTCACGAAATTAGTATAATAGACAAACTAAAAAAATTTATTTTGTATACAGTTTGTTAAATTACGTGGTATGTTTTTTTTCTACAAATAAAAAAAAAGTTGTTATTATGCTAAAAGATTCTTCCTAGCCATGTATTATCCATGTTACCAAAAAATATCAAATTAACATCAAACTTTTTATTAGCGGTAATAATAACATTTTTTATAAACAATATATCAGGTTTAATGATATAATATATATACAAGATAAAGTTTAATTATATATTTTACACAAAAATAAAATTTTGGCAATTCTTCTAGGTTATATTCGCTCGAAAGATAATAGATTAGATAACATTTTTTAGTTTATACATGTATACTTTCTTTTTTGGTGTAGTCAATAAGTACCTTATATATCTGGTCTTGAAGATTATAACCAATTTTAAAGTTGAGTTTATTTTGAAAAAAAAAACATTTTAGGCCTGAAATGGAAAAAACTATAAAATATATGGTCTTTTATGAAAAAAATACCTAATTTACCTGTTGGTGACCTGCTAGGGTCTGAAATAACAAGTAACAGGTAAAAGTTGGGTCTTTTTTGGAAAATAAAAAAGTTCTAGGTCTAAAAAGAAAAAAAGTCAAAATATAAGGTCTTTTATGGAAATAACCCTTCTAAAAAAAAACGATGTTCATAGTTCGACTTGTACGCTTGCATACCCATTTGTACCATCGGAGACTTATGTCTCAGTTCTTAATCGAGGTTGTTCTTGAAGTGTTATCGCATTACTTCTGATCAATTTGTCATTTTAATTTATAAATTATTGAGATCTGAGGTTTATTCATTCTTCAATCCCCTTTAGTCTTATGATCTTGTCAATTGTGTTATCTGAAATAGGGTTTATACTCCATTTGATTCTTCTATCTGATTTTGTACTTTTTGAGCTCTCTATTCAGCCCGACACCGTATTTGTGGTTTAATTCTGACTAGTTGGTTAGGTATTTGTTATGAGGCTGGATTTGTTATTAATTGACCCTTAATTCTTTTTTTTTTGTTAGCGTGATTCCTTGGCTTTACTTTCGAATTGTTCTTGCCCGTCGTTATATTCTGGTTGAGTTTTACGTTCAGAGGTATCATTACTGGTTCTCTGTTTTATAATTCACGTTGGAGGTAAGCAATGAAAAGGTGTTTGAAAGCTTTCTGATTTTGATCTTTGTACAAGGCATGGTTTTGGATGGGTTCATGGAGTAAATTTTTTAGTTTGACTTAGTAGCAACTCCTGAAAGTGAATAAATGATGGAATTGTAAAACACTTACTTACGCATGAAAGTTACATTTTTTTACCAATTTATGAAACAAACTGGATTCTTACCAATTTATGCAGCCATGTCTCGGTTTGCTACCAATTTGTACCATAATATCAAACATACCAATTTGGTTGCATAAATTGGTAACAAATGGAAACATAGTTGAAAAAATTGGTATAAAAATTGTAACTTTGTGGCATAAACAGGCAATTGTCACAAATGATTAGACTTAAATTCCTAAAAAATAGGCTAAAATGCATCAGGAATAGGGTGCCTGTCTGATTGGGGTTTCAAACAACCTGATGAGACTTAGGTCCCGTTTGATAGTTTCTGTCTGGGAAAGTGCTGTTTGGGAAAATTTTCTGACTGGGAAAGAAACCATGCTCTTTGATTGTACATCTGATTGACTAAGCTGAATGATGAAAAAAAGTAATAATTCAATAAAAAATAAATTTAAAAAAAGTTATTTAAAAAAATTAATAATCCAATAAAGAAAGAAAGAGGCGGGGTTTGGTGTATAATTGTCTTTCCAGCCCATTCAGCCAGAAAGATATGATTTTGGGGCTTTCTGGGAAAGACATATCTTACCGGGAAAGATCATTTCTTTTGTGCAAATCAAACAGTATTTCCGGTTCATTCAGCCAGAAAGATCTGTTTGGACCTGGAAAGATACGTATCAAACGGGGCCTTAGTAGGATTGCTGATCCAATCCTGGATTTCATTTATTTCTTTGAGAAAACTCTCAACTATATAATGATACATATTATCTGTTAGATTGTCATGTGTTTGTAAGTTTGGATTTGTACTTAGCAGAAATAATTGCGACATGACACCAAAATCTATGCTCATAAATCAATCTGAAGCAATTGTTAGTACAAGTGACAAGTGAGTAGCATATACCATAGTTCAACTAAAAGAGCTAATATATCAACATTTCAATTTTTATCTTTTCCCCAGAGGATGGAAAGGATATTTTGAAGGTTCAGTTCATGTTCTTTAAGAAAAGCTATGGCGCCACGTCATCAATCGTATTCTGTTGTACAGAAACCAGCCACATGCATGTGCTTATTTATGTTAGTACTAGTGAAGTGCATACAGACACAGACTTCATCTGAATCTGAATCTACTACACACATGATTGGTCTTGGAAGCTATGACATCACAGGGCCTGCTGCTGATGTGAACATGATGGGATATGATAATATGGAACAAATTGCCTCTGGTATTCATTTCAGATTGAGAGCTCGCACATTCATTGTGTCACAACCTCAAGAAGAAAAATCCCTAGTGTTTGTGAATCTGGATGCCTGCATGGCTTCACAGCTTGCTACAATTAAAGTTATAGAAAGATTGAAGGCAAGGTTGATAGATACTTCAACATTTCACTTTTACTTTTACTTTCAAGCATGCTACAAAATGTGTCCAATTGCTAGACCGCTGTTAATCACTATTTCTGAATCAGGGGCTGTTTCTTTTTGAGTTTAATCTGGACAGCTATACATAGCTGTTATTTTTTAATGAATTAATAGGGTAACCAAAAGAACCATTAGTCAGACTTAAGACTCTAATACTTACATGTTTTTCCCTTCTTTTTTCCTCCCAAATCCATGAATATTGTGAAATTTGTATATTGGAGTGTAAGGCAAGATGATCATTTAGTCTCATTTATCCATACATTCATCATTACTCATTCAGACACTCTAATAATATTTGGCCTTTTTTTTTCCTTTCCAACTCCTCTAATTTTAAAATGTGAAATTTGTATAATGGAATGTAAGGATGGAATGGTGATTTATATTCCGTCTAAAAACAAAGACCTTATTTTATCATGACAATCATCATCACCCATTCAACCACTTTACCGATACATGAGCTGATAGAAAAAAAAACCACTCCTTATTCTCATATATATATATATATATATATATATATATATATATTCAATTGTTAAGGTATGGCAACCTATATACTGAGGAGAATGTTGCTATTAGTGGAATTCACACTCATGCTGGGCCTGGAGGATATCTTCAATATGTTGTATATATTATAACATCTCTTGGTTTTGTACAACAATCCTTCAATGCTCTTGTGGATGGCATTGAGAGAAGCATTATGCAAGCTCATGAGGATATTCGTCTAGGGTCTGTCTTTATGAATAAAGGTAATATGGTTTCATTCGTTATTTTTTCAAATAGGGTTAAGGTTGAAATTGGTCCTCCAACTCCAACTATTGTGCATGTACTCATTTAGTCACTTAACTTTTTTCTTTTTGGAGGCCCAAAGTCATTTACTTTAAAAATTGTATACAATACATTACACCATATGATCTGATAAAGCAAAGTTCACAAGTTAACCAACTTCTTTTGTACAACTTTGCCCTAAGTTTTAACTTTAGTTACTAAATTCAACTTTTTTTTTACAAATTTCCCCCCAACTCTTTTACAAAATTTTCCCAACTTAACTTTCCAACTTCGGTTTTACCTGTTTTTTATTTTTTATCTTTTTTACAAATTTATTTTTACATGTTCTACAACATCATTCTTGTACATAGCTTTTTAACTTGGTAAAAAACATGTTAAAACGACGTTGTAAAAAAACAGTAAAGTAAGACAAAAAGCAAACAAAAATAAATATTGATAAACAAATTTTGTAATAAAAGTTGGGACCAAGACAAAATTGTAACAAAAAAGAAAATAAAAATAAATATTGATAAAAAAATTTGGAATAAAAGTTGGGACCAAATTCGTAATAAAAAGAAAAGTTGGGCACATTTGTAAAAAAATGGAGTTGGGTAACCTGTGAAACCTGCTATAACAGGTCATATGGTGTGATGGACACAGTTAAATTACCTTGGGCCTCCAAAAAGAAAGTGAAGCGACTAAATGAGTACATGGACAATAGTTGGAGGACTAATTTGGGAATTTCTATGATTGTGTGTGTATATACTGAAACATCTGTTAAAGTATTGGTGCTGTAATCCTGCAGGATATCTGTTAGATGCGAGTATAAACCGTAGCCCGAGTGCCTGAATAATCCAGAAGAAGAAAGGAGTAATTACGAATATGACACTGATAAAGAGATGACACTTTTGACGTTTGTAGATGATGAGTGGGGTCCAGTGGGAAGCTTTAAATGGTTTGCCACTCATGGAACGGCTACGAGCCGTACAAATTCACTGATTAGTGGTGACAATAAAGGTACAGCTGCACGATTTATGGAGGATTGGTATAACAAAGGATTTCAAACCCAATCACTTATCAAATATAAACTACCTCAAAGAATCTCCAACATAATTCCAGACTTTCATCAACATCGTAAGTTTAATTTATATGCTAAACCTTCAAAACAAAACATCTTTATTCAAATAGTAAAAATATTAAAAAGTGGTCCAGGGTATGTATCTTTACCTCTTAACTCTTAGCTCTTATTTATATATGCATGCACCTAGCTTTAAGGCTCTGTTGTTTGGTTGGAAGGAATGGAATGAGAATGGAATGAGTCATAACATCCCATTATCATGTTTGGCTGGCCTGTAAGAAAGTCATCAACTCTCATATGAGCTATTATATCGTATGTAAATACAGCTATCTGTAGTTTATTTTATTACCATTCTATATATTATATATAATTAATTATTGGGTTAATCTCATAGAATACCTTATATATATATATATATATATATATATATATATATATATATATATATATATATATATATATATACTAAAAAATAAATTTGAAGTTTACCCCGAAAATATATATATATATATATATATATATATTATATATATATATATATATATATATATATATATATTCGGGGTAAACTTCAAATTTATTTTTAACTGAAAAAGACCTTGTATTTTTAATTTTTTCCGATCCGACCCTTTTAGTCATTTTTTTCCAAATTTTTTTTGTAAAATGTGAGGTTTTTTTCAAGAAAAACTAAAAAAGTTAAGGGTTTATTTGGAGGCAGTTAGAACGTTGAGTTTTTTTTTTTTTTTTTTTTTTTTTTTTGGAATAAAGACAAAGTTGAGGGTTTTTTTGGGAAAAATGAAAAAATACAAGGTCTTTTTCAGTCAAAAAAATAAAATTAAGGTTTAATCTGGAAAAAAACACAAAATATAAGGTCTTTTATGAGATTAACCCTTAATTATTTACTAAACTAAAAAATTAAATATCATTAGAAAGCAAGTAAGAATGTAATAAAAAGAATATTTTCAGAAAGTAAAGTCATGGCATAATGAAAATCATGAAAATTAAAAAAAAGTTATAAAGTTAAAACATAAATTTTCATCCTGTTGCATGATGGAAACTTATATTGTTGGAGTTTTTATTTAGGTACCCAGATGAATTCGAGAGCACACGTATCATTGGCGAACGACAATTTAGAAAAGCCACACAACTCTTTGAAAGTGCATCTGAAAAGCTGAAAGGGAAAGTTAATTATCGACACACATACATTGATTTTTCCAACCTCTCAGTCACAGTCACAGCTGCTAATGGGTCTAGTGTCAAAACGTGCCCTGCTGCCATGGGATTTGCTTTTGCTGCTGGAACCACTGATGGACCTGGAGCTTTTGACTTCAAACAGGGAGATGAGCAGGTACACTACTCACTTAAGGACTCCTATTGCGGCTACCCTTTAGGAGAGAAAACCCTAAAACGAGTCTTGAGTGCTTAAAGTGAGAGAGAGAGAGAGCTATTGTGAGCTTTTGGTGGGTGTTTTTGCAAGGAAGAAGAGGGTTCAAGCTAGAGGATCAAAGAAGGGTGTTGGATCTGCTGGTTTTCACGCTCAAGCTTCAGTTGGAGGTATTGAACTCGACTTTTCCCTTTCATTGATGTAGATCTCTCATTTTAGTAGATTAGGGTTCTTCTTCTTCATCATTTTTGGGGATTTTGTGAATTGGGGTTCATAAGGAAGTTAAAACCCCAGATCTGGACCCTAGGAGGTCCCAAACACCTTGAGGTCTTTGCCTTATCCAGCTTTGGTGAAGCTTTAAGTGTGTATAACCCATTTTGTTCATGTTTTTGGCATTTCTTGCTCTAGATGCCATGCATGGACGTAAAGTCTATGACTTTACGTGACTTATGAGCCCTAAGAGTATAGATCTGAAGTTTGGGAAAGAATCCCGCCTTGAAATCGTCTGAATACATGGGAGTCTGAATAGACTCGCCGAGTTGATGGGTCGACTCGGCGAGTAGTTTAGGGTTTATCCCGATTTGGCTGAGTCATGCGATGACCTGACGAGTTAAGGTTAGCTCGTCGAGTTGGTCTTTCTGAGGATCTCTGAGATACGATAGGACTCGACGAGTCGCACGAGCGCACTCGACGAGTCTAGTCGATTTGGGATATTGACTCGATTGGACTTCTGTTGACTTTGTGAGTGAGTCAATTAGGAGCTTCTAGAACCTTGAAGGGATGAGGGTCTTTTACCCATCCCGGGGGTTAAAAAAGGGAATAACAGAACTTAGGAGTTAAATGAGTAAAAGAGATATATTGATTAGATGCTTGTCTAATGTATTTAGGCGGAGGATAATTCGAGAGTGCCAAGTGCGTATTTACTCCTACTAGCTCCGAGGTGAGTCTTCTCACTATACATACCTAGAGAGGTAATCAGAGTTGTGTGACAGAGTATCTTATATGTTATTTGTGTACTGTGATATACTGTATTATTTCTATGTGATTTATGTTATGCATTATTCAGAGTTTACAGAGTTAGGACCGAAAGGTTCATAGAGTTAGGACCGGAGGGTCCATCAGAGTTGTGGGACTGGAGGGTCCCACTGAGACACATTGACCGGAGGGTCTTACAGAGTTATAGCCTCGAGTGGCTAATATGTTGTATGTGGTATTTTGGGGAACTCACTAAGCTTCGTGCTTACAGTGTTATGTGTTATGTGTTTCAGGTACCCCAAAGGATCGCGAGAAGGCACCGACGTGATTGTACACATCTGTTCAGGATGACATGGAGGATTCTGGGATTTGACTTTTGATTGAGATTTTATGTTGACATTGAGACACTTATGATTTTCTTGAAAGATAATATATGAAATTGGTGTATTTTTAAAATGAAAAATTTGGTTGAAAATTTACGTTGTTACACTTTAGTTGGTTGGTTTTATTATTTTTTTTTGTAAAAAATCAAGGTTTGAGCTTCTCTTGATGATATTTTGGATGACGGATAAAGATGTTGATTTTTGGATGGCTAATTTGAAGACGTTGTGTATTCAAAGAGGGTTGCTTGAAGATTGGATTGGCTTGAAGAACTTGAAGGATACTAATTTTTTTAGGATGAAGATTGGATACATTGAAGATTTTTTTGTTGATATTGGGATATGAATTGATTTTTTTCAAAATTTGGATTATTGAGATATTGGGAATTTGGAAGAGTGAAATTATAGAAACTTCCAATGGTTTACTTTTTTTGGGCTATACGAAGAATAAGAATAAAAGTTTAAGGTACACAAAGTTGGTTGCTATTTCGGATACTATACTCGGTTGGAAGTTTTGTCACATGAGCTTGAAGATGTTGATATTTTTTGAGGTTAATAGAGATTTTTTGATTACTTGGATTGGGTTGAAGCAAGAGGATACCATTCTTGGAAGATTCTTGAAGATTAGAAGACAAATGATTTGCTTGGATCTTTGGAAAGATGAAGACCACTCCGACTTGTGGAGTTGGATGAAAATAAAGTGTTGTTTCTTTGCTTTTATTGTTTTTAGACCTAGTCTTTGGTTTGGTACCTTCTTGATGTTTGGCTTTGTATCATTTTTGGGGTTTCTCCAAAAGTGATTTAAACTCCTGTATTTTCTTTTTATGTTATAAAATCTTTGCTGGGGCTGTGACCTCTTTCCCAAAAAAAGAAAACCCTAAACCCTGAACCCTGAACCCTGAACCCTGAACCCTGAACCCTAAACCCTAAATTCCGGAACAAAATTCTGGAATGTTCATCGTATTCCAGAGGACTTCTTAATATTCCGGACATGCTTTTTCGGATTCTGAACTTGTTCCAGGCTACTAAAAATGACGTTTTTTTGGTGAGAATTTTGGTTCGGACTTCTTATTATTCCGAACATATAAACTTATTATTGTCTTTAAACCAATAAAATTCAAAGGAAAATTAATACTACCTATGTAAATGCATAAATTATATAGGTTTTAACGTATAATCTAAAATAAAGACATATAATTATAAACATAATGGAAACTTACATATAAAAATGCATCTCATCATCGCTATCAGAAGACATTTTCAGCTTTAGTGGTGTCCAGAATGCTTCGTAAGGTAATCCGAAATGACAGAGTTCGAAATGAAGGGAAATCCGAAACTGGTTAAACGATATATAGGGGGACCATATTTCCGGGTCGGATCCGTTACCCATAAATGTTCTGGATACAAAATCGGGCCGAAATTTAAAAATATAAACTAAGTGCAAATTAGTAACTTTACACCTATTTAACTAAAAAAAAATAGTAAATTACACGAATGGTCCTTATGGTTTGGGGTAATTTGCATGCTTAGTCCCTAACTTATTTTTTAACTCGGAAGGTCCCTAATATTTGTTTTTGTTACACGCTTGGTCCTTACTGTTTGTTTTTGTTACACACTTGGTCCCTGTCTTACCTGAAAATACTATTATTTAAATAGAAAAAATGGTGGGGTAGGTAAGGTAAGGTGAGGGGGTGGGGGTTGGAGGTGTGTTTATCTAAATAAATTAACAAATTAAGGGAAAAATAGTCTTTTTAGGTAAGAAAGGGACCAAGCGCGTAACAAAAATAAACAGTAGGGACCTCCCGAGTTAAAAAAATAAGTTAGGGACCAAACGCATAAATTACCGTAAACTATAGGGACCATCCGTGTAATTTACTCAAAAAAAAAAAAAAAAAAAACGACATAAATGATGGGGATCTAATTCAGAAAACAAATTGAAACCGCACGGATAAAAAATCGAGCTAAAAACTCTAATGATCATATATGCGGGTCATGTCGATGAAATGGTTTTTTACCGCTTTACAAAGCTGCCAAACTATACACTCCTCAGTTTGTCATCTTCTTCACTTCGCACCATCTGCTCTGAAACTTCTGATCAATTCGTCATTTTAATTTATAAATTATTGTGATCTGAGGTTTGTTCATTCTTCAATCCCCTTTAGTATTTTTATCTTGTCAATTGTTTTATCTGAAATAGGGTTTATACTCCCTTTGATTCTTCTATCTGATTTTGTACTTGTTGAGCTCTCTATTCAGCACGACACCGTATTTGTGGTTTAATTCTGACTTGTTAGTTAGGTATTTATTTGTTACTAATTGATCCTTAATTCTTTTTTTTGTTAGTGTGAATCCTTGGCTTTACTTTCGAATTGTTCTTGCCCGTCGTTATATTCTGGTTGAGTTTTACGTTTGGAGGTATCATTACTGGTTCTCTGTTTTATTATTCACGTTGGAGGTAAGCAACGGAAAGGTGTTTGAAAGCTTTCTGATTTTGATCTTTGTACAAGGCATGGTTTTGGATGGTTCGTGGAGTAAATTTTTAGTTTGACTTAGTAGCAACTCCTGAAAGTGAATAAATGATGGAATTGTAAAACACTTACTTACGCATGGAAGTTACAATTTTTTACCAATTTATGAAACAAAGTGGATTTCTTACCAATTTATGCAGCCATGTCTCAGTTCTACCAATTTGTACCAGAATATCAAACATACCAATTTGGCTGCATAAATTGGTAACAAATGGAAACATAGTTGAAAAAAATTGGTATAAAAATTGTAACTTTGTGGCATAAATAGGCAATTATCACAAATGATTAGACTTAAATCCCTAAAAAAATAGGCTAAAATGCATCAGGAATAGGGTGCCTGGCTTATTGGGGTTTCAAACAACCCGATGAGACTTAGTAGGATTGCTGATCCAATCCTGGATTTCATTTATTTCTTTTAAGAAAACTCTCAACTATAGGATGATACATATTATCTGTTAGTTTGTTATGTGTTTGTAGATATGGATTTGTACTTGGCAGAAATAATTGTGAATTGACACCAAAATCTATGCTCATAAATCAATCGGAAGCAATTGTTAGTGCAAGTGACAAGTGAGTAGCATATACCATAGTTCAACTAAAAGAGCTAATATATCAACATTTCAATTTCTGTATAATCCAAAGGATTTGGGGATGAATATTAAGCCTCTTACTTTATAACTTATTCAATCTTATCTTTTCCCCAGAGGATGGAAAGGATATTTTGAAGGTTCAGTTCACGGTCTTTAAGAAAAGCAATGGCGACACATCATCAATCGTATTCTGTTGTACAGAAACCAGCCACATGCATGTGCTTATTTATGTTAGTACTAGTGAAGTGCATACAGACACAGACTTCATTTGAATCTGAATCTACTACACACATGATTGGTCTTGGAAGCTATGACATCACAGGGCCTGCTGCTGATGTGAACATGATGGGATATGCTAATATGGAACAAATTGCCTCTGGTATTCATTTCAGATTGAGAGCTCGCACATTCATTGTGTCACAACCTCAAGAAGAAAAATCCCTAGTGTTTGTGAACCTGGATGCGTGCATGGCTTCACAGCTTGTTACAATTAAAGTTATAGAAAGATTGAAGGCAAGGTTGATAGATACTTCAACCTTTCACTTTTACTTTTACTTTTAAGCATGCTACAAAATGTGTCCAGTTGCTAGACTGCTGTTAATCACTATTTCTGAATCAGGGGCTGTTTCTTTTTGTGTTTAATCTGGATAGCTATACATAGCTGTTATTTTTTAATGAATTAATGGGTTAAGCCAAAAGAACCATTAGTCAGACTTAAGACACTAATCCTTACATATTTTTCCCTTCTTTTTTCCTCCCAACTCCATGAATATTGTGAAATTTGTATATTGGAGTGTAAGGCAAGATGGTCATTTAGTCTCATTTAGACACAGACCTTACTTTATCCATACACTCATCATTACTCATTCAGACACTCTAATCCTGTAAATATTTGGCCTTCTTTTTTCCTTTCCAACTCCTCTCATGTTAAAAATGTGAAATTTGTATAATGGAATGTAAGGGTGAAATGGTGATTTATATTCCATCTAAAAACAAACAGACCTTATTTTATCGTGACACCACTTTACCGATACATGAGTTGATAGAAAAAGAAAAACAACCCCTTATTCTCATATATATATTTTTCAATTGTTAAGGTATGGCAACCTATATACTGAGGAGAATGTTGCTATTAGTGGGATTCACACTCATGCTGGGCCTGGAGGATATCTTCAATATGTTGTATATATTATAACATCTCTTGGTTTTGTACAACAATCTTTCAATGCCCTTGTGGATGGCATTGAAAGAAGCATTATGCAAGCTCATGAGAATCTTCGTCCAGGGTCTGTCTTTATCAATAAAGGTAATATGGTTTCATTAGTTATTTTTTCAAATAGGGTTATGGTTGAAATTGGTCCTCCAACTCCAACTATTGTGCATTACACCATATGATCTGATATAGCAAAGTTCACAAGTTAACCAACTTCTTTTGTACAACTTTACCCTAAGTTTTAACTTTAATTACTAAATTCAACTTTTTTTTTTACAAATTTTCTCCCAACTCTTTTACAAAATTTTCCCAACTTTAACTTTCCGACTTCGCTTTTACATGTTTTTTATTTTTATCTTTTTTACAAATTATTTTTACATGTTCTACAACATCATTCTTGTACATAGTTTTTTAACTTGGTATAAAACATGTTAAAACGACGTTGTAAAAAAACAGTAAAGTAAGACAAAAAGCAAACAAAAATAAATATTGATAAACAAATTTTGTAATAAAAAAGAAAATAAAAATAAATATTGATAAAAAAAAATTGGAATAAAAGTTGGGACTAAATTCGTAATAAAAAGAAAAGTTGGGCACATTTGTAAAAAAAAAAAATGGAGTTGGGTAATCTGTGAAACCTGCTATAACAGGTCACATGGTGTGATGGACACAGTTAAATGACCTTGGGCCTCCAAAAAGAAAGTTAAGTGACTAAATGAGTACATGGGCAATAGTTGGAGGACTAATTTGGGAATTTCTATGATTGTGTGTATATATACTGAAACATCTGTTAAAGTATTGGTGCTGTAATCCTGCAGGAGAGCTGTTAGATGCGAGTATAAACCGTAGCCCGAGTGCCTATCTGAATAATCCAGAAGAAGAAAGGAGTAATTACGAATATGACACTGATAAAGAGATGACACTTTTGAAGTTTGTAGATGATGAGTGGGGTCCAGTGGGAAGCTTTAATTGGTTTGCCACTCATGGAACGTCTATGAGCCGTACAAATTCACTGATTAGTGGTGACAATAAAGGTGCAGCTGCACGATTTATGGAGGATTGGTATAACAAAGGATTTCAAACCCAATCACTTATCAAATATAAACTACCTCGAAGAATCTCCAACATAATTCCAGACTTTCATCAACATCGTAAGTTTAATTTATATGCTAAACCTTCAAAACAAAACATCTTTATTCAAATAGTAAAAATATTAAAAAGTTTGCGTCATCAAAAAACAGGGTAATATTGCAATTTTTAATAATACAGGTAAAGAGCTGATGGAAATTGCTTCGAGCTTCCAGTCATCTGGAGGAAGAGGTGTTACAAGAGCTCTAAGTGTTGCAAAACGAGTGAGGAGCAGCTTTAGGCAGGCTGAAAAGCCTCAATTCGTGTCTGCATTTTGTCAAACAAATTGTGGGGATGTAAGTCCAAATGTGCTTGGAGCTTTTTGCTTAGACACTGGCTTGCCCTGTGACTTCAATCAGAGCACCTGCAATGGTAGAAATGAACTCTGCTATGGCCGTGGTCCAGGGTATGTACCTGTACCTCTCCCCTTGATTATATATGCATGCAGCTAGCTTTAAGGTTCTGTTGTTTGGTTGAAAGGAATGGAATGAGTCATTACATTCCATTATCATGTTTGGCTGGCCTGTTAGAATGGAAGTAACTCTCATATGAATCTATTATGTCATATGTAAATATAAGGTGTTTACCATTCTCTCTCTCTCTCTCTCTATATATATATATATATATATATATATATATATATATATATATTATATTTATAATTTATAATTATAGAATTTATATTACTAAACTAAAAAATTAAACATCATTAGAAGGCAAATAAGAATGTAATAAAAAGAATATTTTCAGAAAGTAATGTTATAACAGAATGAAAATCATGAAAATTAAAAAAAGAAAAACAAACAAATTATCGTCCTGTTACATGATGGAATGAAAAAGAAACACTCACTGGCTCGCTAATAAAGAATAACAAAATGTAAGAAAGGTCCATTCTGTTTCTTTTATTCCAATGGAATGAACCATTCCATTCCATTGGCCCACAAACACTAGCTTGAGTTTTAATAGTAGTATCAAACTTATATTGTTGGAGTTTTTATTTAGGTACCCAGATGAATTCGAGAGCACACGTATCATTGGTGAACGGCAATTTAAAAAAGCCACACAACTCTTTGAAAGTGCGTCTGAACAACTGAAAGGGAAAGTTAATTATCGACACACATACATTGATTTTTCCAACCTCAAAGTCCAACTTTCAGAAGCAGCTAATAATAATAATAATGTCAAAACGTGCCCTGCTGCTATGGGATTTGCTTTTGCTGCTGGAACCACTGATGGACCTGGAGCATTTGACTTCAAACAGGGAGATGACCAGGCAGGTTTTAATATCTCTACACTACACACTTAATTGTTAAATTAATGGATCTAATTTTAGCAATGTAATGTTTTAGGGAAATGCATTTTGGAAGCTTGTTGGAGGGTTACTGAAAAAACCAGATGAGGAGCAGATCAATTGTCAGGATCCCAAACCCATTCTGATCGACACCGGTGAAATGCATGATCCATACGACTGGGCCGTATGTCCTAATCTCATCTAAATTTTTTTTGTGAATGCTACTTAATTATCATGAGTTGACAAAAAAAATTTATGCAGCCTGCCATACTACCAATTCAGATTTTGCAAATCGGGCAACTTGTTATTCTCAGTGTTCCAGGAGGTAATTAATTATTGCTCCATTCTTCAGATCATTTTTTACCCACAATATTCATTCATTCAAACAACCATACTTTAGATCCATGTAACATGTAAGGACATAAAACCACGTATTTCTTTAAATCTTATACTTGGCATATTTAGTGTTATTGATTTTCCACTTGTTTTTATGGTTTTGTAGAATTCACGACTATGGCCGGGAGGCGTCTGCGTGATGCGGTGAAGGAAGTTTTGACTTCATTTGGAGAGGAAGAAGAAAAAGAAGAATTTCATGTTGTGATTGCTGGACTTACAAATACTTATTCACAGTATGTGACTACGATTGAGGAATATCAGATTCAGAGATACGAGGTCAGCATATCATACCTTACCTTTCTATCGAACATCTGTGACCAAAACACATAAATGCCCTCCTTATCCTCATAACCGAATTAGCCTTAAAAAGCTTGTCATTTATCACATAATTATGGTAGTGTTTGGCATTAGGGAACCAGAGAGGAGATGGAATGGTTTGTTCCATTCGAATGAAAAGAAAACTGTTTCTATTACCTGATGGAATGGAATGGACCATTCTTGAAGGAATGTGATTCCTTCTGTTTTGTTAATTTTCATTCCTTTGGCAGGGGATGTAAATGAAAATTTGTAATATAACCCATTTTTATTTATAAAGTTTTTATTGACAAATATTTTTTAAGGATTTCAAATTTTAATTGTATTATACTATTATTTTCTAGAAATAAATGGACAGTATTTTTTCTTACTATAAACTTTTTTGGGTTTCAATGAGCTTTTATTATGTTTAATCTTTTAATCTTGTAGATGATATATACAGAATAGTATTGAAACTTTATCTTTTATTTACACATAATATTGAAAAAATATGAAAATTCATTCCATTTCTACAGCCAACCAAACATGATCATGGAATTAAATCATAAAGTAATGGAATAAACAATGTAATGGAACCGATAATTACATTCCATTATCATGTTTGTTTGGCTTGAAGGAATGTAATGGATTATTCAATGATGTTTTTATTACGTACAATTTCAAAACTAAATAGAATAAAATTAGTGAATAAAGAAAAAAAAATATTATTCTAAAAAAAAATTAAAAATAAACTCTAATTAAATAAAAGATATATCGATATATAAATTAGATATCAACATATTTAATGTCATCTGAACTATATGTATTTCAAATAGTCAAAAGAGGTGTATTTATCATTTTAGATAATTCAAAATTGTTTACGAAAAAGACAAATTAAACACCATGAAATCTTTTCATAATACTATACCGAAAAAATATTGTTAGTTATCTTAAGTAAATAACAAAAGGATAGTCTAATTAAAGTTTTGAGCTTTCTAAAAAAATATTTTTTTTTCCCAAACATTATTATATAAATAAAAGTAATTTATCACTATAATTTATCCTTCCACTCCATCCAAGAATGAAAAAAAACACTCCACCCCCATGGAATGAAAATCAAAGTAGGAGAAGGAATCACATTCCATTATGATGTGACAACACAACATGCTTTATTCGGTATGCAATTAAAGTGAAGCTAGAATTGATAATTATTTATTTATTTTTTGATAATTATTTATTTATTTTTTGGTTTATAAAAAGAGTAAGTCACAAATTTGGTCCCTGTGTTTTAATCAAAATCGCAAGTTCAGTCCAAATTTTAAAATTGTCCCAATGTCATCCTTAAGCTTGCAGTTCGTTGCGGACATGGTCCCTGTGGTTTACTCAAAATCTCAAGTTCAGTCCAGAATTTGAAGTCATTTTGTATGAAATAGTAAATACAAAGATAAGGAGTATATTGGGAAAATTTGTAACTTGCTCTAAATATGTTATCATGTTATGTTATATTCAGGGAGCTTCGACTCTGTATGGTCCACACACCCTGAATGCATACATCCAAGAATTCAAGAAATTAGCATCTTCTCTGATGAATGACCAAAAAGTGGAACCGGGCCTACAACCACCGGACCTACTAGACAACCAAATCAGCCTTCTAACCCCGGTGTTACTTGACGCAACCCCTCTCGGTTCAAGATTTGGTGATTGCAAAACTGACGTTCCTTCCGGTTCAGTCTTTTCAAGGGGTGATGTTGTGACCGCCACATTCTGGTCAGCCTGCCCGAGGAACGACCTTATGACCGAAGGCACCTTTGCACTTGTGGAGATTTTGGACTCCAACAACAAAGACGATTGGGAACCGGTTTATGATGATGATGACTGGTGCCTAAAGTTTATATGGTCGAGGCCTTCAAAGCTTAGTACACGAAGCTATGCAACTATCGAATGGGTGATTCCGGATGAGGCTGTTTCTGGCGTTTATAGGATTACACATTTTGGTGCATCCAAGTCGCTTTTTGGTTCGGTCAACCATTTCACGGGTTCTTCTACTGCTTTTTCTATAGCATAAAAAAGAAATAAGAAAAAACCATTGGTTTATGATGTTTAGACTTAACAGATGGAGACGACTATTCTATACATACATATAAATCTGATGACACGTGTTAATGGCCTTATGTTGATGTGGAAATAGAAAATGAAATTCACACTCAAACAGAACACTACAGAATTTGGAAGTAGATCTATTTGGATAACGTACTATTTCAGCTACTTATTTATTTTAAATAGAATATTAATTAGAGTTTCACTTTAAAGTCGTATTGTTAAGTTTTTATACTAAAGTGTGGTTTGGTGAAAATTAAAGAATTTTTCCCGATTTTCAGATTTCAGCGAATTACACCAAAAAAAAACTAGGATAAATTACGTACCTGGAACATGAATGTTATACATATGGACCAAACCGGACCCGGCCGACTTTTCGACCGGATCGGTTCGACAGAAATTGATGGACTTTAAACCGGACCTGTTGAGGCGGTTCCCGGTCTGGTCCAGAAGTCCAAATATTTACCCTTACACAAGAATAAACATATATACTATTAATAAAACACAAAAAGTGTCCAAATGTTTAAGAATACACATATATACTATTAATAAAACACAAGTGATCAAAGTTGTGGTGGTTATATATATATATATATATATATATATATATATATATATATATATATATATATATATAATCAGGATAATATTGTTACGTTAATATAAAGAGTAAATTATAGTTTTGGGAATTCGCATATTCAATCCAAACTTTGAAAATTTGACAATGCATCCCTGTTTAATCCACTTCAAAGACCATTTTACCCTTACTTTTATATATATATATATATATATATATATATATATATATATATATATATATATATATAATTGTTTAAATTTTTTTTTCTATATTTTGCTGCTTATATTTTATTTTTTTTATTTATATTTTTTATGATATATATATATATATATATATATATATATATATATATAATTTTATTCGAATATATATATTTTTAATATTTTTTATATTTTGTTCGTTTATATCTTTTGATGTTTTATTTGAATAATTTTACTAGTTTTTTTTTAAATATATCTTTTAATGGTTTTTTGATCTTTTGTTTTTTTATATATTTGTAAAGCTTTTTATAAATATTTTTTGTAAACCCTACACAGCCTTTACAGTAGCAGTTCTTCATCGAGCTCTTCTAAGGTTGTGCTTATTAATCATTTGACACAACTTGATCATATTTCTGTGTTATTGATTCTTTACCTGTTTGAATCTGTTCGATCATTCTAATTTTATACTTAACAATTGGTATCAGAGCAGGAGACTGTGTAATCCATACACATATCTTCTGTTAAAAGAGCTATTAGGGTTTCCGCTTTAATAGGATCTTGAGTCTGCCGTCTTCTTCGATTTCACCGATTACGGATGTTGAATCTTGATCTTTATTTTACCCTACACTCGTTTTTAGGTTTACACATATGGTTCTTACATGTTTTTATCAAATCGATAACATGCATCCTAATGACTCTTACGTTAACTCCATCAATCTCTCGAGCAACATTGGATCTACAACAAGGATCCCTATACTCTTTCCGAATGATTATGAAGTATGGACACTACACTTTGAAGATTATGTCCTTGGTCTTGAAGATAATGTCTCTTTGATATGGGATGCCATAACGTTCTCTCACACTAGAACAAGAAAGGAAATAAAAACTCACGCTGACTATAATAATCTTATTCTTCAGGTCAAAGACATTCCACAGGATGAGAGAGACAAGCTAATCAGCAACGTCAAAGCGATGAGGATTATTAGGTTTGCTTTGCCTCCAAACACGTTTTGTCTGGTGAGTTCCCTTGATACATCAAAATCTATTTGGGATAGGCTCAAAGAACTATACTCAAGTGATGCAGATCTTGAGCACTCTATTCAAACACTCCTGCTTTCAGAGTTTGGAGCCTTTGTTCAGAAGCCAGAGCAAAGTCTCGATCAAACGTTCAACCGCTACAATCATATTTTAAGTAAGATGATGAAACACAAAATTGGACGTGAATTGATAGAACAGAAATTCACGTTCATGAATGGGTTGAGACCTGAATGGAAAGCTGTGGTGTCGACGGTTAAAGCACGTGAGCAGTTTAAGAACTACTCTTTGGCAAAGCTTGTTGGTATTCTTAGGTCGCACGAGGATGAAGTGACAAAGGAAGGAAAGGTAGTGTCTGGGATGGGATCGTTGGCCCTAGTTGCGAAGAGCAAGATGGTTGCAGAAGAAGAAGCTTCGGAGTCTGATCTCTCCGATTGGGAACTCTCAAAGGATGAGTATGCGATGATGGTGTCCAATCCTAAAAGATTCTCAAAGAAGAATTTTGGATGCAATAAAAACCGAAACTAGCAGGGAAGCTGCAGCTCTAAGAAGGTGAAGGATGAGAGTTCTAACAACTCTCAAAAGGAAGACGTTAAGAAGGAAAAGAAGCTAATGGGTGACTCCGGATATGCCTGCAATTATTGTCACGGTAAAAATCATTTAGATAAGGAGTGCATGCTGAGGAGAATGAACGAGAAGAAAGAGGAAGAGGATGATGAGACCTACTATCTCAGAAAGCTGGAGGAGATCAAGAAGAAGAAACATACTGAAAATGCTATGCCTGCTTTAATTATGCAGGAAAACGAAGATGAGTTTGGCAGAGTCGAAGTATGGTCGACTGACTCTGAGGACGAAGAAGTTCGCAGACCAACTCATGGGAGAAGCTTTGTAGCGAAAGATGATGGTTCGCAGTTCAATGGAAGATGCTTAATGGTGAGCAATGAGGCTTCGGAGCTAAGAGGATATGCTACAGATGGCGGTCGTGTCTCCGACAGCTGTTTCGCTGCAAAACCAGTCCCTGAGCAGATCAGTGAGTGTGAGAAGGTGATTAATAAGGTACACACTATTCTTCAATATCTAAATATTCCTCTATCTCGGTATGAAACTGGATTAGATCATTTAAGATATACAGTCTATAGTTTCAGCGAAAGTTTAAAAAGAAGCCGTTTGAATAGTTCTAACTTAACCGATCAACTCGGCAGGGTTTCGAACAAAAGTGAGGAGCAGCGCATATGGATTGACAAGTTAGAGTCTGATTTGGCTAAGTCTAGGGATAAGTTGATTTATTTTCAAAGAGATAATTTGAGGCTTTTAAAACAACAAAACTTTTTTTTTTGTTTAATTGCTAAAAGACTTTATTTTAATATTACCCAGTTGCACCTTGATTGTGAAATTGGTAAGAAAATACACAAGATGATTTTGCCCTTTCTTGAATTGAAAGAGGACGAAATCGATGCAGATTGTTACATGTGCGAATCCATCGTCTCATCTGACGAAGTCTCGGATGCTTACAGAATAGGACTGGACAAAATTGAATCTTTCATACAGTCCAAAGATCACAAAAATATGTTGAAACAACTTTTGGATGAAAATGACAAAGAGAAAATTAAATCTGATACTGTGCAGAAGTTTGACTCATTAAACACTATGTTGAGTTCAAAAAATAAACTTAATGTGGAAAATACATCTGAATTCGATGATGATAGTGATATGAGTGAAATCTTTGTGGAGGATGAGGTTGATTGCTCTGAATTTGTTAAAAGCGAACCTGAACTTGCGAAAGTCCTAATTTCTGAAAATATAGTTGAGTTTGCACGTTCTTCTGAAGTTAAATCAAAAGTTTTAAAAGAAAAAGCAACTGTTTTCCCAAAGGTTCAAAATGTTCCTAATCAGGTTTTCGCAACCAAGGGACTGAATAAAAATCAAACTGTAGAACTAACGTCCCTGGTCGAAGAAGATAATAAAGATGGTTGTGATGAATTTTTTTGGTCAGCTCCTATCGACAATGCGGAAGAAACCAAAGGTACATCTGAGATGATGTGACATCCCCATTTTCACGGCCAGAAAAGACCGATTTCGTTTATGCTTTTAAAATAAAACCAGAGTAATCTTTCAAAAGGTGTTGCGGAATTTGTCCTCAAAACAAAATATGATAAAAATTTATCAAAGCATTTCTTAAAGAAATGTATTTCATTACATTACAAACCTCAGGATGTCATGTTCCGATACATAACAAAAGCATAAACAGTACGGTATAGGCCTTACAACAGTTATTTACATCTATTGGCCTATAATCGAAAATCCCTCGTCATCATCCAACTTTGCTCTTGTTCCACTACCTGTAATATAAAAAGCTGAGTGGGCCAGGCTTGGGAGCCTGGTGTAACACCCGGTTTCTGGTATGTATTTTAATTAAAGTAAACTCATGTTTTGCTTTGGGACTCAGCGAGTTGGAGGCCCAACTCCTCGAGTAGACTCGACTTTGGATCGACAGGATAAGTGACCTACTTGATGAGCCGCGAGACCGACTTGATGAGTAGGAATATATGGATGAAACCCTAATATTTAGGGTTTTCACCATATTTAAACAACTTATAACGCCCAACACAGCCCCCATTGTTCCTCCCAACCCAGAGAAACCCTAACTCGAAACCCTAAGCCTTATTTGAGTGTTCTTGAGCTTTTTGGTGCCTTTTTGTGTGTATTTGAAGTTGGAAGAGGAGAATGAAGCTTGAGAGAACAAGAGAGAGCAAGTAGATCCAGAAGTCTTGGCACATTTCCTGCTCATTTGAGGTATAAAGCTGATACCTTGGCTATTTATTACTTAGATCTTGATTTGGGGCTATTTTCCTACCCTTTTTATGAGTTGTGAAGTAAAAATCAGATTTTGTGAGTGTGTTTGGAGTTACACTTCAGATCTGGAACCATTGAGGGTTCCCATGGCATAAAGGTGCCAACTTTATGGCCATGGGAGACCCATGCTTCTTATATACCTCTTTTATGGCTTTTGAGCCAAAAACCCCCATGCATGGACGTCAAGATTGGAACTTACATATAAAATGGACCCTAGGAGGTTAGATCTATGGTTTTGATGCATTAAGACCCACTATAATCGATCGAATAGTTTTGGACAAAGAGGGACTCAACGAGTCGGGTCGCATTTTCCCACAAATGTCTTCTGGAAATGGTCTTTGGTTGAATGGAAGGAACACTCAGCATGTTAGGGGTTTGTTATGGACTTGAAGATCGAAGGACTCGACGAGTTCAAGGAGGAACTCGGCGAGTTCAAGGCAATGTCCCAACCACATGAAGACGGACTCGAAGAGTTCAAGGATGAA